TTGATACTTTTTTTTCTTCTTTATGAATTGCTTCAATATACAAGTCAGGAGAAGATGAAATAACGTCACCTAGGGCCACACCACCAGCATGGGTATATGTGGGCTTAGGTGGCAAGAAACTCTGCACCCTCATTTGTAAACTGGAATGACGATACAAATTGGAGCTTCTTGTGCCTTGCTTCCTGGCACATTGTTCCAGGTCTTTCAGGGGCTAGGTGCACTCCACACAATGTCCTCTTCATCCCTGACCTCCCCCCAAAACTACTATAATTTATATGTCTTAACATGCTAACTTTTATGAGTATTATCGTTACTGCATAGAGACATTGTTATTGTTATTGTCCCCTGTCCATGCTGCAAAGATAGATTATCCTTGATCTACCTTGGGGCCATTCAAAGCCAGTCGTCTATACTAGGTTGATAACATACCATGATGTACAGCAATGGCCAAATTTATATTGTAGCATAGTTGTATAACATGTATTTCCTTTCACTAGGCTGAGGAGATATTATTCAGAGAAGTCTAGAACCCATCTATACATACAACCCTCATGCATAACAATGTATACAGGAGAGAGAGAGAGAGAGAGAGAGAGAGAGAGAGAGAGAGAGAGAGAGAGAGAGAGAGAGGAGAGAGAGAGAGAAGAGAGAGAGAGAAGAGAAAGAGAGGAGGGAAGGGAAGGGAAGGGAAGGGAAGGGAAGGGAGTCTATGACGCCAGACCTAGAAATGTGTTTTGGCTTGCTTTCTGGGCAAGTCAAAACACATTATACACATGATATAGAGATAAATCATAACCAAAGACAGTGAGATTTTATAAGAAAAGAAGATGGCTAATTACATGAAATATTTCTAGTGTTAATAATATTCACACTTTGACATTAGAAATTATTTAAAACACCCATCTATTTAACTTCTGTGATATATGTCTGACTTGCCGAGGTTCAGCAGGGTTCACTGAGAAACTGTCTGCTGTGCATGTATTTTCAGTCAATCATGATTATTAGAGCATCCTCAGTGTGGCTTCTTGGGAGGCTGAGAGCCAGGAAGTGGGGAAGAGAGGTGCCGAACAGCTAACCCATTTCCACACATGAATCTCAACTGACTTCTCCTTTCTCTCAACTAATAGGCCAACAGAAATTAAAAATTCGAATGAACCAATAAACTACCTAGTGCCTTCACCTTATTTGCAAAATAAAGACATTGAGGGTGGATTTGGCAACAGTTTCCTTAGGTGCATGTCATTAATTTCAGTGATGGAATTCAAATGCATACCTCCTCAATACCACAATGCTTAACTTAGTATTTAGTAATATATAATTTTTATTGTTCTCTAAATTTCCTCTAATGAATTTTGTTTTCAATCTTAAACTGTGAGATCTTTAAAGATCGATAGCACTTGCAAACCTCATAGAATCTTGTACAACATTTATTGAAATCTCAGTCATTTCTTAGTAGCCAACTAATGAGTTAATTTATATTCTCTCAGTGTACGAATGCAATGAGTCACTTTAAAGAAAATAAAAGTTATCGCCGAAACCAGTTTGGCTCAGTGGATAGAGCGTCGGCCTGCGGATTGAAAGGTCCCAGGTTCGATTCCGGTCAAGGACATGTACCTGGGTTGTGGGCACATCCCCAGTAGGAGATGTGCAGGAGGCAGCTGGTTGATGTTTCTCTCTCATCGATGTTTCTAACTCTCTATCTCTCTCTCCCTTCCTCTCTGTAAAAAATCAATAAAATATATTTTAAAAAAAGAAGAAAATAAAAGTTAAGGACTCTTATTTTTAAAATAAAATATTTTTCATTCATTCACCATAATTTATTGAGTACCTAATAAGTGCAAGGCTTTATTCTAGGAGATGGAAATGCAGAAAACAAACAAAGCAAAAAAAGTGAAATCAATAATCTTACATTTAAGGCTGGGAAATAAATAGTAAACAAAAATAAATTTAAAAATATACATTCTTCAATTGATCCAAAGAGCATTGGAGAAGTAAAGAATGAGGATTGGGAGGTTGGATAGAGAGATTGCAGTAGAGAATGACCATAAAACGTCTCCGTGAGAAGGTGACATTTGATTGCAGATGTAGAGACTGTGAGGGTGTGAGCCATGTGAACACTGGGGACGGGCATCTCAAGCAAGGGGAGTAGAGAATAAAAAGAAGCATCGCATGCCTGGCTTAGCGGAACAGTAAGGAGCCCAGGCAGGTTGGAGCCAGTGAGTAGGCAGAGGAGTAGGAGGTAAATCAGAGAGGCACAGAAGGGTACAGATCCTGCAGGACTTAACTGGATTTTGTGAGGATTTTCTGAGGATTTTGTTCTTAGTGAGGTGGACATCATTGGAAGTTTCAGCACAGCGGAGACATGGTTGCCAGCTTTTTCTGAAGAAAAAATATCACCCTTTCTGTAGTTTTAAAACTTTAACAGAGGGGTAAAGGCAGAAGGAAGAAGCACATTGAAAAAGCCACTAAATAAGGCAGGTAAGAATGGGGCCATGGTATTGGCAAGCGTGATGGAGAGAGGTGGCTGAAATCTGAGTAAATTTTGAACAAAAGCTGAGGGGATTTGCTGACAGAATTGTCAAGAATGACTATGGTGTACCCGGCCAGTGTGGCTTAGTGGTTGAGCATTGGCCCAGGAATCATGGTCCAATTCCTGGTCAGGGCATATGCCTGGGTTGTGGGCTCAATCCCAGTGTGGGAGGTTCAGGAGGCAGCTGGACAATGATTATCTCTCGTCATTGATGTTTCTGTCTCTCACTCCCTCTTCCTTCCTCTCTGAAATGATATAGACATAGATATAGATATAGATATAGATATAGATATAGATATAGATATATAGGTATATAGATATATATATAGACTCTAGTCTGCAAGAGCCAAGATGGTGTCACCATTTGCTGAGATGGGGAAGACTCTAAGAAAAGCAAGTGGGGGAAGAATCAGGAGCTAGATTTTGGACAAGTCTAATATGCCTATTAATGATGCCACTTTGCCATTGTGGTTCATTAGAAAAATTCAGAATAGTACTTATTAAACACTAGAGGCCTAGTGCACGGATTCGTGCACCAGTGAGGTCCCTCGGCATGGCCTTTGGGGATTAGGCTGAAACCAGCAGCCCAGTGCCACCTGTCCCTCCTGCCTGCTGCTCCCACTAATCACGGCCCTACTGTGCCTGCAGCAGGCTCGCTCCCAGTCAGTCCAGATCAGGAGAGGCTTGCACCACCTCAGCGGCACTCGCCAGCCGTGATCCCTGCTTCTGGGCCCGTTGGTCAGCTGAGCCACCAGGGGGCAGCTCCTGCACTGAGCATCTGCCCCCTGGTGGTCAGTGCATGTCATAGCAACTGGTCAACCAGTTGCTTAGGCTTTTATATATAGAGATGCTTGTATGTCTTTATGTGAGGATTTCCAAGAAAATATTTTGTGACCTGAGCTCTCAAAGAAAAGTGAGAACTCTGTGGCCATGTACAATACTACTGCATGTCATTGTACATGCAAGTGTCAAGGTTGAAGTCTAATGTCATGCAAAGTCTTGGTTAACGTTCACAGTAGCAATTAACAATCTGAAAATTTATTAATTACTCTTATATATTATGTTTGACTTTCAAAGCTATTTTTAAGATCTTCTTATGTGATTATAACCCTTAATAAGCATGTTTATGTTTGCATTTCATCTTGAAGTCAAGTTCAGCAACTATTTCTCTTTATTCTTAATTCTAAGGAAGGCAAAAGGCTTATTTAACTTTTTCTATTTGGAACTAATTCATCAAACTTATTGATATTTTCTGCTGCAGAAATTGTAGAATTTTATCTTTAGCAGTGTTTGTCTATTCTATATTTATGTGTATACTTTCATGTTCTTCAGTGTTAATCTCAGTAGTTCTATAAAATTAGCTTCCATGTTATTGAAGAACAATATAAACTTTCACTTTATCATTCTTACCTAGTTGAGATCCTTGAGTATCAAATATATTTCATAGTATTCAAATGAATATTGCAGACACATTTATGAAAATTAGTGTGAGGAAGTGGAAATAGCCTTTCCATACTATTATTGGTAGCTACTGTTTCTCACTCATGTATATCTCTTCTAATTGGGTCATTTTGGGTGTGTTAGAAAGTTTTGACATTGCAGTATCATAGAAACCTTTATTGAGCTTAATCTCAGATGTCACTATTTAAATAAAGAGTCATGTGTAGTAGGTTGTCAGTTTGAATATTAAGGGTCCTGAACCCAGGCTGAATAATTTGGGAATCACTGTGGTTAATTAAATAGTACTTCATACAAATACTGTATATCACTGCTTAATTAGTTGAGAATATCAACGGATTGGAGATGTGTTAGAAAAGCACTAATTGAAACATTGAAGACTAACTTCTAAAACATGAATCATTATGAAGACAGTAGAAAGAGCAGTTATAAAGCAAATCAAAGTCATTCTCTTTCAGTAAACATCTTAGTTGCTTACAGCATTTGGGTCATGTTTGCAAGGACATAGTGCTTTATCATGCCTGATGAGAATTGCTAGAGGACTCCATGGGAGCTGCGAGAGTATTGCATTTGAAACACACCACTGGGTCCCGCACTGGTTCAGTTAAGTATCTGCTGCATGACT